TCCGGGGAGCGAGGCGCGCGCGTGGGGGGGCGGGGGTTTGCCGTGTGGCTAGGGCTGGGGGCGTGGTAGAGTGGAGGGGGGCACCTTGCAGTGGGAAAGGGGCAAGACCCCGGGTTTGAGAAGAGCGTGCGCGCTGGTGACCTGTCGGGGTTCGGGGTGCCAAGGCTTAGTGGGGTGGGGGTGCGGGGTGGAAAGCAGCAGCCGAGGATTGAACCTGGAGAAGGGGCTGGGGTGCAGGCGGAGGGCGCTGGGGGCGCACTGTGCATCCCAGGGGCTCAGGCGAGGGAGAGGATTTCCCTGCCCGGATCCTTTCTCCTCTCCAATCGAGGGGCTCGGCTCCTGGGGATTTACGCAGTGTGCAGTAGATGCTCAGTAAAAATGTGAATGAGAGACTATTGCTGTGTTCTTCACCCCCAGTGGCTGCTCGAACACTTCACATAGGCGGGGCTTAAGACATACCTTCTGGTTGGAAGAGGGAGTCTGAACTGTCTCTGCCTAAGCAAGTGCGCTGCCTGTACCCGAGTGTCGGTTTGTGGCGGCGTGGTTTTAGGGGAGGGGCTGCTCGAGTTTGGGGATTTTTGCGCCCCTTAAAGCAGCCCTGGTGTCACCACGGCCTCCCACCCTTATAAACGTACTCAGTTCCACACTTTAAATCCGTTATCCCGGACCTCTTAATGTGAAATCAGCCCCGATTGGAAGGCAGTGTGTCTGAGTGGGTCAGTGCCGCTCTACTCGGGATCAATTACTTACCCTGCTCTGAGGCTCAGTTTTCTGATCTTTTTTTTTTTTTAATGGAGACAGACCTGTTGGGATTTATACTGTTATCTGGTGAATAACTTGGGATCTACAGGTAGTGGAGGTGGGATGATGGCAAACAGCAGTAAGGACTTTCTTGGGTGGGGGACCCAAGCCTCTCACTGCTCCATCTCCGTCTCCACATGTTTAAGAAAGGAGCCGCTTGTTTATTTTATTTATCTGTTTAATTCCCATACCACACTACACGATTCAGTGTTGCAAATATATTAAGCGGAGTTGTGCAATTGAAAAGGAGCTGCTTTTTGCAGCGTGAGAAGTGCAGTCGAGACTGCAAGAAGAACTTCCAGGGCTAGAGGTGGGAGCAAGGGAAGGCAAAAGCTCTGAAGAAGAGGCAGGGCCCCTGGTGGGTGGAGCTATGCAGCCTCAGAAGGGAACCTCTGTCTCTTGATCCCAGTTCAAAGAGGAAATTTCCCGGAGGTTTAAGGCCCAGCAGGACCAGCTCGTCTTGATCTTTGCTGGGAAGATCCTTAAGGATGGGGACACGCTGAACCAGCATGGAATCAAGGATGGGCTCACTGTCCATCTGGTCATCAAGACCCCTCAGAAGTAAGTTCAGGAGGTGATTGACCTCCGCCATGCACTTCCCCATTTGCAACTCCTCTCAACTTAGAAGGTTATGGGCCAAGGCCTGGCAGAGTGAGGCCTGGGTGGGTTTGCAGGCAGTGTTGTAATTTTACCTTCTTCTTGGGGAGGGAGGTGTCTTTATTTACCCCTTCCAGAATGCCCCGAGACAGAGAGCACAAGCTTCTCCTCTAGGAGTTTGCTGACCTTCCTGTCCCCCTCCCCCTTCCTACCCCAGGAGTCAGAGTTAGGGTAGTAGCAGAGGAAGCCAGTCCCATCTTCCTCTGTGGGGCCTTCCTGGTTCTTGGGGTATGCGCTCCAACTAGGATTCTTCTTTGTCCTCAGAGCTCAAGATCCGGCTGCTGCCACCGCCTCTTCCCCCTCCTCTCCAGACCCGGCCTCTGCGCCCTCCACCACACCGGCTTCACCTGCCACCCCCACCCAGCCCTCCACTTCCGGCAGCGCCCCTTCAGATGCTGGCAGTGGAAGCCGGAGAAGCAGTGGTGGGGGGCCCTCCCCAGGGGCTGGGGAGGGATCCCCCAGCGCTACCTCATCCATACTCTGTAAGCCCCCAGAGAGAACACAGCCCTCTTTTGGTTTGGGGAGTTGGGCAGAGTCCGGAGGAGGGAGAAACCTGGTCCCTGCTCCTGGTTGATGGGTTTCTATGACCCTGGGCGTAGGTTTCTAAATAAGGGCATTGGAACCCAACCAGGAAGGAGGCTAGACTGTGTGAAGAGGAAGAGGAGAAATGGGGCTGGGGATGTGAGGAGCCCTGGGTGAGGGGATTGATATTGGCAGAACCTGCGTGTCTGGGGTGAAGGGAGGCCCAGCAGGAGCCAGGACAGGGCGTAGTCATTTACTCATGCCATCCCATCGGGGCTGCCCTGCTGTGTGCTAGGTACTGTGCTCAGTCCTGGGGTCATCTCAGACTTTGGGGCCCAAGAGGTCTCTGTCTAATAGAGTGGTTCTCAAGCTTCCTAATACTGCGACCCTTTCATACAGTTCCTCATGTTGTGGTGACCGCCAACCATAACATTATTTGCATTGCTACTTCATCACTGTCATGTTGCTACTGTTATGAATCGGGCGACCCCTGTGAAAGGGTTGTTCGACCCTAAAAGGGGTCTCGACCCACAGGTTGAGAACCACTAGGTTGGCAGCTCTTTGTAATGGATCATAGTCGGCCTGTGGGAGTAAGTGGGAGAGGGAGCCGAGAGAAGCCGAGGACAAATGGGGCCCTTGCCAAAGAGCCGCGTGCATGGTTTTTGGCCAGGTAGGGAAAAGGCTGCTGGAGCAGCAGGTAACCGTGCCCCCTCCCCACAGCTGGCTTTGGGGGCCTCCTGGGGCTGGGCAGCCTGGGCCTGGGCTCTGCCAACTTCATGGAGCTGCAGCAGCAGATGCAGAGGCAGCTGATGTCCAACCCCGAGATGCTATCTCAGATCATGGAGAACCCCTTGGTCCAGGACATGATGTCTAACCCCGACCTGATGCGCCACATGATCATGGCCAACCCGCAGATGCAGCAGCTGATGGAACGGAACCCGGAGATCAGCCACATGCTCAACAACCCCGAGCTCATGAGACAGGTGGGCATGAAAGGAGATTGAGGCGGGGAGGGAGGAGTGTCCGGACCCCAGTCTTTTCTTACCTTGGCCTTTGCTGATGTATTCATTCATTTACTCAGCAGCCCTGTTGTAACCCTAGTGTGTGTGTGTGTGTGTGTGTGTGTGTGTGTGTGTGTCTGTGTGTCTGTGTGTACACAGTGATGGAAAGACCCAGGCTTAGCCTTCTCAGTGGGGTTTGGGGCAGGTTAACGGGCAATAAGAACATAGCCCTATTGTAGGGATGGTCACAGCCTCCTCCGAGGGCAGGAAGCTCCCCTGAAGAGGCGTCATCCAAGCTGAGACCCAATGGAGGAGGACCCGGAATTAGGGGTGGACAATGAGAAGAATGTTCAGGGCAGAAGCCTGGGTATAAACGAACGTGGGGGTGTGGGGAGTGATGCGGCTGGGCAGGGCCCATGAGGAAGGCACTTTGGGGGTTGGTCTTTGGGAGTGGCTTCTCCGGGCCCATTCATTCTAGTTGGGGACAAGCAGCTAGGATCTGCTAGCACATCTGTGCTAAACTCATTAGGAAATCTGTCCTGATAGGGCATGGTTTAGGGCTGGGCTGCATTTGGAGAGCGGGTCCGTTTTCCCCTCAGTGAGGCCGGTTTGAGGTGCCCTCGGCACCTGAGGTGTTTCCACCCGCTGTTTTTCAAAAGTGATCTCCAGGCCTTTCTTGGGAAGGCAAGGGTGGTTTACTGGTCCTCTTTGTTCCCTGTCTATTGAACAGACTCCTGGTGATATAGTGATTACTCATTGGGCTCTCATCCACATGGTCGGCAGTTCGAAACCACCAGCCGCTCCTCAGGAGACAAACAAGGCTTTCTCCTCCCATCGATAGTTACAGTCTTGGAAACCCACAGGGGGCTGCTATGAGTCAGCCCTGACTCGATGGCAGCGAGCTTGGCTTTTGGCTTGGTCTCCCACAGGGCCTCGTTCTGGTCCGTTGTTGTGTTGTTGTTGTTGTCTTGCACCCCCTGCGGCCCCCCACCCCCACCCCGTGGCTGTTTGCTCAGCTGTGATCTTTATGGAAACAGACCGGCCCCCTTTTGAGTACACAGTTGGGTTTGCAGCCAAGCTTGACCATTGCGCCAGCAGAGCCCACTTGGTACACTTTTAAGCCAAACCCCGAAACCCTCTGTCACTGAGCTCATTCTGACATTCCAAGGCAGGGTATCTGGATGGAAGCAGATGGGGGGTTTGAACCGCCGACTCATGCTTTGCAGCCCGATGCCTAACCCACAGCACTACCTGGCCTCCTTTCTTACCCAGTGGTATACACTAACCCCCAACACCAGGTGCCCTCCCATCAAGTCAGCTCCAACCCAGCGACCATGGATAAGGTTTATGAGGCTTTGTCCCTGTTTGCAAGAGTAGACAGCCTTGTCTTCCTCCTGTGGAGTAGCTGCTGGGTTGGGACCACTGACTTTATGGTTTGCAAGCCAACTCTTACTCGACGCATAAGTATCTACTGCATGAATGAATTGTGGGGCAAGAACTCAGAGGCCCGGGAGGCCCGGTGGGTTGTTAGTCCATAAAGGCATCTTAGGAGTGAGAGGTGGGTGGGAGGGCTGTTGGACAGGGAAGGGATTCCGAGCAGGATGCAAGCAAGAAGGAGCTATGTTCATCACACACACACACACACACACACACACACACACACACACACACACACACACACAACACTCCTCCCCCCCTGGGGCTGTCATGGATCACCCCTAGTTGAGAGTGAGCCAGGGCCGCATCCTACTCTCACAGTGTAGTCAGCAGGCCAGAGACCTGACCGGGAGGTAGGGGCAGAAGGTGTTCCTGTCTGTTGTTGGTGGCAGAATGGTGGTCTTGCTTACACAGGCTGCCCTTGCCTTTAAACCTAGCGCCACCACTAGCCAGCTGTGTGTCACCAGACTGCTAGCAAGTCTCATCTGTCAAAGAAGGACAGAAGGGTGATGACGGGGATGAAATGATTTAAATGCTGTATTTGGCCCAGTGCTGGTCAGTTTCAGGCTGCTCTATGGAGATGTTCCATTCTGGCCTGCCCACTCGCTCACGTGCTTTCTTCCCTGCTGCCTCGTGCTCGCTGGCACTTCCATGCACCCCCGGGTACTGAGGGAGGGCAGCTGCTGCCCCTACTTATCTGGGACCACTCACTCACCCCCCCCCTTGAACAGGCTAACCAAAGTGCCCATGGGGAGGCAGGGTGGTGGCCAGGATTGCAGTGGAGGAAGCAAGTTCTCGTCGGTGCCTGGACTCCAGCCCTGGTGCAGATCCCTCTGCGGGGGGGCCCCCCTCGTCCCAGCTCGCGTGCCCCTGCTGACCGGCCCAGCCCGTCTCTCTCCCCTTCTGCCAGACCATGGAGCTTGCACGGAATCCAGCCATGATGCAGGAGATGATGCGGAACCAAGACCGGGCCCTGAGCAACCTGGAGAGCATCCCCGGAGGGTACAATGCGCTCCGCCGCATGTACACCGACATCCAGGAGCCCATGTTCAGCGCTGCCCGCGAGCAGGTACGGCCTGGGCCTGGGGGCGGTGGGAGGGACTGCCTGCCCCCGCTCAGCTCGAGATTGCCCAGGTCCCTCTGGCTGCCCCCAGCGCCTCCGTCCTCCTTCTCACCCACCGGTGAGCTTTGGGCCTGAAAGCCGGCTCTCAGTGTGCAGGCCAGGGTGACTGATCTAAGGCGGCTTATGGTTAGAGGGGAGGATAGCAGAGTTCCCACGGAGGTGTGGGCGTGGGGATGTACTGTCCCAGGGCTTGGCATTGTTCTGACAAACTTCTCACACCAGTGACTCAGATGTTGTGGGGCGGCCAGGCACAGAGTGTCCCCAGTGGGGTCCTCAGGTCAGCTGCCGCGGACACCGTGGGGAGCTCGTCCATGTGCTTCCTACTGACTCAGTCCCTGGGGCTCGGTCCCAGGGATAGGCGCCTTCAAGCGTGCTTTATGGATTTATTTCCAAATACACAACAAAGAATGGGTAAAGACATAGCATTCGCACTCTTTATTTGTTTATTTAGCGATTTTTAAAATTCGGTGGAGATTTACATTTCAATATAAAATTCACCAATTTTGTGTTTCAACTACTTATCAACACGCGCCGCCATCACTTACTGCGCCCTCTTTGATTTCTCTTCTACCTCTTGTAGATTACTATGGTGCCCTTCACCCAAGTCAATGCCTGTCACCCCTCGAGTCTGCGGCTTCACTCCCCTCCCCACTTGGTCATCTTCGAAGTCGGTCCCCTTTGATAGAGAAGGCCCTGTCCTGTTTCTTCCCTTTGGCACAGTGGTCATGGAATGGGCTGAGTTCACGCAGCACCGTGTTCTCCAGACGCATCCTTGCCCTCGGTCCCACCTGCTTTCAGCGCAGTGGTGGTGGTATAGCGACACACAGTAGTCCGTGGTGTATGTGGACCAAAGCTGCTTTCTCCCTTCTGCCGACGGGCCTTCCGGTTGTTTCCCTCCGCGTGCTGTTGTGAACAGTGCCGCCATGGGCACGGGCGTGCCTACTCATGTTGACAGGGATCCTCTCCTACCTAGCACCCAGTACGGACCGACCGTCCGTCATACGTTGTCTTATAGGAGGGAGCTCCCAAAAGCAATCATGGAAATATAGGACTGAAAGAGAATGGGCTGTTCCCATGAACCTCTTCAAGTTCCCTCAGGGAGTTTGAATGCTTCCTCAGGTGTGTGTCCTAAAGATGGAATTTATATTAAAGGCATGATGCTTTGATGCGTTTCTAAAGCCACAGGCTGCACGAGGTAACCAGAGGTCATTCACGAAGCATGAGAAGGGACACCGCTGGCCAGTGTGCGCAGGGAGCACCCTTCTCTCTCCACTGCTCAGCTGTCTCTTTGTCACCCCAGAGGTAACTAATGGGTTTTGTGGATTTTCTACACGTATTTAATATTGGCGAACAAGACGTGAGAAATGGGACTGCAGCCTTAACATATCCCTCTCCGGAAGTAATTAACGACTCAGTGTCACCGAGGCAGTTCTGACTCACAGTGACCCTCTAGGACAGAGTAGAACTGCCACTTTGGGATTCCGAGACTTTAGATCTTTGCAAGCCAGACAGCCTCATCTGTCTCCCACAGAGCAGCAAGTGGATTCAAACTGCCGACCTTGCGGGTAGCAGTTCAATGTGAAAGCCACTGTGCTAGCTGCCAGAGCTCCTGCAGGAAGTAATGAGTGGCCTCCATTTGGTGTTCATCCTTCCGGTCCTTTTCTTTGTGTTTATGTTCTAAGTGTGTACCCCAAACAACAAGCTGTAGTCTTGCTCTACAGACTTTCAACCGCACGAGCGAGGTCTCGTGCTGCTCCCACCATGTTGAGCTCGCTGTAAACATTGAAATGAAACGCTCAAAGACATTCTGAGTTGTTTCTGTGAAGGATGAGTCCATAGAGAAAAATGCACCTATTGTAAGTCCGCAGCGTGACAGAGTTTCACCAACCAAACACAGGTGTTGTAACCAGCGTCCGGGTGTGGCGCCTGGATCTCACGTTCCTCTGCGCTCTGAGTGACCAGTTTGGTACAAGTGTGAGCGGCCCACACTTTCCCAGCTGAGAGAGAGAGAGTGTGTGTGTGTGTGTGCACGGGGGAATTTTTCTCTCACTAGCTCGCTTCTGCGCCACTCATCAGCGGACCGATCTCTGCCCCGATCCCACACTGTCTCAAGTCTTGGGGTCTGGCCCAGCGGGTCCCCTGCTTGGCTTTTCCCCAGCATCCTGCTCATTCTTGGCTTCGCTCTCTCAAGTTGATTTTACAAATTGCTTGTGGGGATCATTGTGTATTTGTCATTTTATTTCAGCTTTCATCTAATTTTTTAAAATCCCAGTCATGCATGAAACTGATTGTAAAAAAGCCACCACCACAGCGTTGGGGCAAGTGTATCGAAGCACTGCAGCTGGTTGTGTCTGGTACACACTCGGTGTGGGCACCCATGGATTAGCAGAAAGGACATGGCGTTTGGCATCAACAAACGTGGGTTCTCATCTGGCTGCCACCTTCTCTATAGGATGTTTAGTGACTTGGCTTAATGTTCTGATTCTGAGCTCATTTTCAGAGTAGGGGTGCGATGTGCTGTAGCATAGATTTTCAACCTCGTAGCAGCAGAGGCCCCTAGGGCTTTTGTTATGGTGCCTAGAGAAATAACCGTTTCCCACAGCACCGCCTGGGCTCCTTTTCCATTTCTGCAGATTTCTTCTGGGTCGGGCTTATGGTAAGACAGGTGGCTTCTTTTGTAATGTCACATGCTGTATAGCTTTGGAAAACGCTCTGTACCCTCCTGAGAAGATGAGAGAGACCCATGACTCGGACCTCACAGGGCTCTCTGCCCACCCGTTGAGAACTGGTGCCTGAGAGGGTTATTGTGAGAATTACGTCAGATACGTCAGGCACGCAGTGCGTGCTCCGTAAGTGGTGGCTGTTCTCACTATGGGGCTTCTAGGAAGGGGATTCGGTGGTCCTTAGGCCGTTCTGGAAACAACAAAGCAGGGCCCAGACTGTGAGCCTGGGCAAGTTGCCAACAAAGGAAGCCTGAAGCAAGGGCAAAGGCTGACCCGGTGGTGCTGGTGCTGAATCCTGGCCTGGGCGCCCTCTTATCTGCACAGGCATCTGGTGAGGAGGAGGACCGGTGACTTGGGACAGGAGAGTGCCTTGACCAGCCCTGGCCCTCATGACCCAATTTGAATAAACAGGAAAAGGGACTGGATAAGACACCTCCCATGGGGGCCTTGAGGTCACTCACACGTGCATGTGCTCAGAGCTGGGCTGCCATACCCCCCTGGAGGAAGGGGAACAAGGGGTATGGGGGCCGAGACTCACGGTTCTGACCGCCGCAGGGTTCAGCGAGAAGCAGGGCACCAGGGTCCAGTGGATCATTCCAGTGTCACAGTGAGGGGCTTGGCGCTAAGAAGGGAATGCGGCGGCCCGTCAGGCGGCCGTGGCCAGTGGGAGGAGTGGGGCTGGGGAGGGGGACACTGGTGGGGAGCCCTGGGGAAGGAGGAGAAGCCCTGGGAAGCCCTGGGAGGGTGCGGGCAGCCAGAGGACTTGTGAGGGAACCCTCCCTTGTGAAATGCCTGGACCACAGGATGGCCCTCGGGCCTGGGAGGTGGAGAGCTGGCCTGGGGGGCGGGGTGGGGTGGGGGGCTGGGATTGGACTCTGGTGGTGGGACAAAGGGAGCTGGAGGCAGATCAGTGTGGAAGGAGTAGAGCAGTTCTGAGCGGCAGCTGCCCTGGAGCTGCCAGGCCTTACTGAGCACCTACTAGTGCCTGGGGCGAGGGGTGCAGAGGGGAGTCTGAGACTGTCCTGTCAGCGTGGGAAAGGTGAGTCAGTGCTGTGGGGACACAGAGGGGCAGGCCAGAGACCCTTGTTTGGCGCACAGGGGAGATGAAAACCCTCTCTGGCGGGGTTCGATTCCCCAGTCATTGACATCAACAGGGCCAGGGTGGAGCCGCCCACTGTGGGGCAGAGAACTGAGCAGAAACCCCCACGGCCCTGGATCTCTCGCCCGTTGCAGGTGCAAGAGAGAAGGGGCCCAGCCCGGTCCCAGATTTGTTTCAGTCCTTAACCCAGAACCTTTCCCTCCTCCCAGTTTGGCAACAATCCCTTCTCCTCCCTGACCGGGAACTCCGACAGCTCATCCTCCCAGCCTCTGCGGACTGAGAATCGAGAGCCCCTCCCTAACCCCTGGAGCCCCTCGCCCCCCACCTCCCAGGCCCCCGGGTCCGGTGGGGAGGGCACCGGAGGATCGGGGACCAGCCAGGTGCACCCGACAGTCTCGAACCCCTTTGGGATCAATGCGGCTAGCCTGGGGTCAGGTATGTCCTGGGGCGGAAGGAGCTTGGTGGGGTCACCGGGGCAGCCCCAGGACCAAATGGGGTTCACTGTCCCAGGTTACTGAAGATGGAGGTGGGGCTGGGGTCAAAGCCACTGGAGGGCTCTGCAGCCTGGGGGAGTGGTTGGGCCCCTTGGGGTGAGGGTGGGTTCTGGCCGTCTCCTGGTGTCCTTGTCAAGTAGGGGCTCATGAACAAACCGGGCTCCCCTCCTCCGCTCTTTGAGCCCCTCTAGTCCTGTTCAGGGCAAGAGGCTCCGACTGGAGAGGGGTGTCGTGGAGAGGCCTCGGAGTCCATGTCTGGACGGCGGCCAGACCTAGAGCCCAAGGGTATTTGGGTAGATGTCCTGATCGACATCCTAGTGGTTGTCCCTTCCACTCCGTGAGCTTCGTTTTCTCTCTTTGTAACACGAAGGACTTGAGTCTGCTCTGAGGGCTTTTAGGGGGGCTCCTGAGCCCCGGGGCTTCTGGGCCAGCTGCAAGCAGAGCGTGGACACACGTGGATTCTGAGTGGGATTTGCTTGGAGGAAAGGGCCTCGCTGCAAAGACAAGGTCTAGGGTCCCTGAAGTTGAGCCTTCCCACTCAGCCATCAGCTGAGCTTGTGGCAGGGACAGTCCAGAGCCCCGCCTGGCCTGCCCTTAGCAAAGAAGATGGGCAAGGGACCAGGCCTGCTCAGGGTGAGATGACCTCGGTCGGGGTCAGCAGGGACCCCGAGGAATTTGGGCCCAGATCTCACCGGTTGTGGGTGGCCATTGACCACGTCTTCTCTAAGCTGTGTAACCACTCCGTGGGTATAAAGTGCGGGGGGTGGACCGAGCGCAGTAGCTTCTTCTCATCTGGACCCCTTCTCTCCCGGTGGCTCCCCCGCTCGCCTCGTCCCAGGAATGTTCAACAGCCCCGAGATGCAGGCCCTCCTCCAGCAGATCTCCGAGAACCCCCAGCTGATGCAGAATGCCATCTCGGCTCCCTACATGCGCAGCATGATGCAGACGTTGGCCCAGAACCCCGACTTCGCTGTGCAGGTATTGAACCTGCGGCCCTGGGCCGTGGGCTCTGGCGGGAGCGGTTTCTGGTGGTGAGGTTGAGCCAAGGCAGGGTTTGCTTCCTTAGCTCTTCCATGCCCTCACTGTGAGTTACGCATGCGGTTTGGCCTCAGTTTCCTTCGGGCGAAAAACAAAGAAACGACTGCCATTGACGAGTCCCTGCCGACTCCTAGTGATCCTCTAGGGCAGCGTGGACCTGTCCTGTGACCCTTCCCCGGGGTAGAACGCCTCTTCTTGCTCCCTCGGAGTGGCAGGCAGTTTTGAACTGCTGACCTTGAGGTTAGCAGCCTGATGTGTGACCACTAGGCCACCGGGGTCCTGCTTAGGACAGGACGTGGCACTAGAGGAGCCCGTCCTTAGCGGTCACTGCTGCTGTCATCCTTGTCCCCTACAGACCCAGGCTGAGCACCCCGGCTCCAGATACCCACCCTGCCCCCGAGCATAGTTCGGCCCCACTTTGGTCTTCGGGATACTTTGAAATCCTGGAAAAGCTGGCCAGATTTCCCATGGGAGTAGCCAGGGCCAGGGAACCGGAAGTTGGGGAGTTCTTAAGATGGAGGGGCCCAGGCCTCCCCCTACTACCTTCCTCTTGGCAGATGATGGTGAACGTGCCGCTCTTTGCCGGGAACCCCCAGCTGCAGGAGCAGCTCCGCCTGCAGCTCCCTGTCTTCCTGCAGCAGGTGAGTCCGCCGCCTCGAGGGGCAGAGGTGAGGGCAAAGCCCACAGGTGAGACGGAGGCTCGGGGGCCAGAGTGGGTTCTTGTCTACCCTGCTACCTCCCGTTGTCTTCCTCTGCTGCTTCCTCTCAGATGCAGAACCCGGACTCGCTCTCCATCCTGACCAACCCTCGTGCCATGCAGGCGCTGCTGCAGATCCAGCAGGGTCTGCAGACCCTGCAGACCGAGGCCCCCGGGCTGGTACCCAGGTAAGGTCCGGGCCGATGGGCAGATGCCCTTCATGCCCCTCTGAGCCCTGCTGTGTCTGACAGCCAAGGTGTCTGATTTCCTGTTTCCCTTAACCAGTGGCTTCCCTAGTGTTGTTGTGACACACACACACACACACACACACACACACACACACTCACATGTACACACCCCACTTACAGAGTTCTGAGGGAGTGACTACAGTGAGGGTGGGATGGGGAGAGGCCAGCTCTGGCTCCACCCCTAGGGATCCCATTGGCCAAACCATAGACCCTCCTCTCCATCCATTGGCTGGTACCCTGTGTGGGGGTATGTGCTTAGCTGCTGCCTGTCACTGGGTGAGAGTAATAGCAACCCTAATGATGCCACTGCCTTGGGGACCCCTCCTCCAGCAGCACTCCTCCACTGCAGACCTTGGGGTCATCTTGGTGTCACCCCCTCTGACAGGGTCAGGAGGTGAAAGGGACACTCCACCCCCCACCCCCTGGCCCCCTGAGGGACAGACACTTCTGCCTCCAGCCACAGTTCTTGCTGGACCACACGTTTCCACCTCTCGGGTCTCACTCAGTTGTCTCCCGCCTGCAGCCTGGGCTCCTTTGGGATGTCCCGGACCCCAGCACCCTCAGCAGGCAGCACCACTGGGCCTACGCCGGAGGCCCCCAGCTCCTCGCCAGCCCCGCCGGCCACCGCTTCCCCGACAGGCACCTCCAGCGCACAACAGCAGCTCATGCAGCAGATGGCCCAGCTTCTGGCCGGAAGTGGGAATTCACAGGTACGTGGGGCAGCGGGGCTGGGCCCCCACTTGGACCCTGGGCAGAGACAAGGGCAGCAGTGGGGTGGAGGCAGTAGAGCAGACTCCAGAGGTGGCCAGAGCGGTGTTAGAGCCTGGCCTGTCCCTGACTAACCTCGGGCTGTGACTGACCCTCCGAGTTCAGTGTCCACACCACTGTGAAATGGAACTGAGGGTGGTAACGGTCCTTACCCCCAGCCAGTTTGAATGCTTAGTTAAAAAAAATTCAAAACTCACTTCCATCGAGCCAGTTCCAGCTCACGGCGACCCTCTTGGACAGAGCAGAGCTGACCCTCTCTCTTGCCGAGGCCGCCCGTCTGTGGGCGGGAAGAACGTCATCTTGGTTGGTTGGTCTGAGATGACCTGTCTGTCACCACAGACTCCAAGTCCCTTTCAATTTCACTTTCCCTCCTCTGTTTATTTTTTATTTTATTTTATTTTTTTAATTTAAAAAATTTTTGAATTATTTATTTATTTTCTCTGTTTATTTTTTAAAGCCACTCAAACCGCTATGTAGGTTTGAGGGATAAGCAACCTGGAGGGATTTTTTTTCCCCCCAAAGAAACATACATACATATGCAGGGTGAAGGTGCCAGCCCCACCACTAGTCGCGGGTTCGATAGGCGCAATTGTACAGCTGAGATCTATAAAGATTATAATAAAGTCATCGAGAGCATGAGAGATTGGAATAATGGAATCAGACACATTTCATGGTAGCATGCTCACCTCAGCCCCACCTGGTGGCCCACGTGGAGAGAGGGAGGGGAAGGAGGACAAGGGGAAAGGGAACAGGGGAGAGAGGACGAGAGGATAGAGGGAACTGAACACGAGGGGAGCCTGAGAGAGCTTTTTATTGCTAACCCAGATCTATATCCCTTTGTGGGGAGTGCAAGCCCACTAATTACAGGTAAAGACATACCTCACAGGAAGGGGTTGCACTATATACAAGCACTATAGGTTATACAGCAATGAGAGGGGAACAATCTAGGGACATACACGCAATAGAAAGGGTTGTGCTATACGTGATACAGTAATGGGAGGGGGGTGGTCTAGGGGTATCCACGCAATAGGAAGAGGAGGGATTGGGGGTATACATGTGACAAGATGGGCGGATTCTAGATTCAGGATGGCAGCCTAACTTTGGATGTCACTGAGCCGGTTGGACCTGTTCCCTGGCTCACTATAGAAACCGTTTTCAGTAGGTTGTGAACTCCACCTACTGGCACCAAGACTGCAAGCCTTTAGGGAGAAGTAGCCCATTGTCCTTAACAGCAGGGAGCAGGCCTACCTGTGGTGGGACCAGACAGTAGTCTGGCAACTGACTGTCTTCAGGGAGGTAACTTGACAATCATTTACTATTTGGGGGAGACGACTTGGGGGGAATCTTTCTGTTTCCCACATACATATTATACAACCCACATCAAGAAATTAAATTCAACAACAGGATCCTCTAGCCTCTCCCTTTTTATTTCACCCTCGCCCCCACTCCATCTTTCTCCCAAGGAGCTGGTGGGTTCGAACTACTGACCTGTGTTTAGCAGCCCAGTGCTTAACCAACCGTACCACCAGGGCTCCGTTTTATCTGGACAAGTGCTTCCCACGCCTCCCTTGGGGACACACTTCCAGGTGATGTTTGCAGGAGTGTCAAAATGAAAAGCCTCCTCTCAGATAGTTGTGTGTATCGATCAGTTAAACACAATTAAATGGGTGCCTTCTTTCCTGGGATGCTTCTCTGGCCTTTCATAAGGTTGTATATGTGGTGGCTGTAGGCCAGGGGTGGGGAGGTGAGGGGGGGGGCTGAGAAGGAATGTTTAGCAGGCATTAGAAAGAAATTTGTTCTTGAAGTCTTTCATGACAAGTTTATCTCAGACCAGCAAAAAGTTGCTGCAAATATGTAGGTCACAAAAACATTCCCCATTTCAATAGTTGTCACATGTACCATTAAGCATGTGCATGGCGTTCACGCGGGCAGCGTATCTGTCCCCAGAGCTCTGGGCTCTGGGAGTGCCTGCGCCATTACGGGATCACTGAAGGAAAGCAGGTGGGAATTCAGGCTGAGCTAGGCCTGCCGCTGACTTGGCAATTTTTAGAGAGGTGCCCCTTCGTTGTTGACACATTGGGCTAACAGCAGGGTCTGCAGTTCAAACCCCCCCAGCCCCCTACCAGTCACCCCAAGGGAAAAAGGTGAGCTTGTCTGTGCCCATAGAGATTTACCTTCCCAGAAACCCAAAGGAGCAGTTCCCCTGTGCCTTAGAGGGTCACTGTGAGTTGGAATTGAGTCTGACGATGAGTCTTTTGTCTCTCCACACACACTCCTCCCCCAGTCATTGTACAGTTGTTTAGTGACTTGAACCCAAGGCTCCAGGCCCTGCCCCCCCCCCACCTCCTGCTGCTTGCAGCCTGCCCTCCCCTCTGTTGGTTGATGGTGAGGACATTGGAGAAGGCTGGACCTCTCCCCTCCTCTCGGAGCCCTCAGGTTCAGGTAGACGGTCAAGGTTGGGCCGAAGCCCAGGTCACAAGACCTCCTCCCCCTCCCCTCCAGGTGCAGACCCCAGAAGTAAGATTTCAGCAGCAACTGGAGCAGCTCAACTCCATGGGCTTCATCAATCGGGAGGCCAACCTGCAGGCCCTGATTGCCACCGGAGGCGACATCAACGCCGCCATCGAGAGACTCCTGGGCTCTCAGCTCTCCTAATCCCTGGGCCCATGCCTCCTGCTCCCCCTTCCTGATGCCAGTGTTCCATTCCTCTGACCGCCCCACCCTCTGGAGTTTGCCGTCCCTTCCGGTTTCTCTCCAGACAGCACAGTGAGCTTCGAGGCATGGGCCCCCAGCCCCACAGCTCTGTCCCAGAACCTCTGGTTTTCCTTCCGCATCCCCTGCTGAACCTTCTCAGCTGGTCCTCCTGGGGCCTGGCTCTGGAGCACTGCCCTTTTGTCGGGTTGGCTCCGCCCCCTTGTCCCACAGCCACCTTTGGGAGTCTCCAAACTTCTCAGCAGCAAGGGAGAGCCAGAGGAGGCAGCCGCTCTGGGGGGGAGACTGGAACGGGCTCTTTCAGCTGTACCACAAGGAGTTGGCTTACCTTATGCTTCCTTCTGGTAACTCTTCTCTCCCTCTCTCCCCTGACGCCCTCTTCCCCACAGCCCTGCCTCTGCTGAGAAAAGGGGCCCTACTAAAGCTTCATCCTTCGAAGGAGGGCCGGGGAAGCCGGCTCTCTGTGATTTTCCTTCTCCTTCCTATTCTGATGCAGTCCTTTTTCCTGGGCTCTGTTGGGATGCCCAAAGCGGGGAGGAGGAACTCTTCCGTGTCTGAAGGGGAAGGTGAGGCTTGACCCTCTGGACAAGGAACTAGCAAGCCCTGAACCAGCCCAGTGGTGATGAGTGGGCGAAATCTCCATGAAGCGGGGTATGGTGGGGGCGGGCGGGGGGGAGGATGAGTAACATCATGGACAATGGAATGGCCAGTTAGCGGGTAGGAACACTAGCAGCTCTTTCAGATGGGCCAGTCGAGGCCCCGGCCTGACAGAGGAGCTGAGAGATGCTAACAGAATTGCGTGGAAGGCAAGGGTTCAGTGCGGCTTAGGGATCATGAGATCATATTGGCTGCATTTCCTCAGATACACATGCTTGCACACATGTATTTCCGTGAACCCCCAAACCTGCCTGTGCCCCCCAGGCACCAGGGTCTTGAGCCTCTCTCAGAAGACAGGCAGGGGTTGAGCTCTGGCTGAGCAGGGGGAAGTTGCGCGAGGGTGTGTCTGACCACTGGCGATGCCTGTGCTGGCTGGAAGGCGGGTTCTTGGTGGCTTCTCAGTCAGCACACTCTGACTGGAGAGACGGTGGACTGGCCAGGCTAGGGCAGGGGTGGACACCGGCAGGAGAGCGAGGTCCCTGGGTTTCTGGGTGCCGGACAACCTCAGGGGAGGGTGGGGTAGCCCTGAAGCTTTCAGAACTGATCAGCACTCGGAGTCGCTCTTCCTTCTGAGAATGCTCCAGGAGAACAGAGAGGACTTCCCCTCCGGAGACCGAGACCTTTGGCCCGCTAGCCCCTGCTCTTTCCGTTCTTGACCGCTGTCCTCCAGGCCAGGGCATTCTCAATGAGGAGGGAGAGGCGAGGTTGGCGCTGATAGCTTCGACCCGGAGGCGAACACTTACTGTACAGAGCACAGAGGAGGGTCTTGCTGCCTCCTCCCTCTGCTACTTGAAGGGCCCGTGGCTGAGACTATGGAAGCAAGAGGAACAGAAACTTGCTTCCCTGGGAAGGTCCCAAGCCGTCCAGAGAGGATGTCTGTGGCTTTCCCGCCCCATTTCCCCAGCTTCCACACTGGCCTTGTGAATAAATGGCGTGGTCTCCACTGCACGGCTGCCCGGGTGTTTTGTTCTCTGCGTGGGAGGAAGCTGCCGGAGGACAACCTGGTTTGAGGTGACGTAGGTGGACAAGGGAAGAGAGGAAGCGGTGCATGCTTGTGCCGGGTGTTCAGATAGGAGGCTAAGGGCTGGCTGATCCCGTGACTGACTGTGACCCCTGCGTTAGGGATGAGACGCATCGTTCTTCTATTCCCACACTGAACTGTCCGAGATTCTTTTCGCCACAGGGCAGGGCTTCAAGAAAAACGTAATACACTCTTGATAAGGGAGCTAGGCCACTGTGTCTATCCTCTGACCTGTGAGCAAGAGTGCCCTCAGCTCACCTCAAGTGCAAGGTAAACAAGCAAGAACTCGTGCAGATCCACGTCAGTGAAGGGTCACAGTCATGAGCTCTGAGTGGACGCTTGGTCGTACCGCTCCTGTGTGAGTTCACGGGAGTGTTTGCATCTCTGAGGTTTTACCTTTGTTACAGCAAAGCTAGGGGTTAGAGATTGGTGATGTACAAATAAGAATGATCGGGAGATTCCACTTCTGACAATCGTCCACTAAATGCTTCATACCAACATTCCTACTCTAAACTCAAAAAGCTGGATGAAATAAAAATATATTTAAAAGGCATCAGGGGTAGATGAAATACAAGTTTTACATATATAGTACCCAAAACGAGTATTTCCCCCCCAAAGCTATATACTTTAAATTTCTTTACAAAACAATCTTATCACCTTCAAAGTACTCTCCATTACAATTAATGTATTTTTCAAATCTGTAACTCCATTCTTTTTTTTTTTTTTAATCATCTTATTGGGGACTCGTACAACTTTGATCACAACCCATCCATTATATCAAGCACGTTTACATTTGTTGCCATCATCATTTTCAAAACATTTTCTTTCTACTTGCGCCCTTGATATCAGCTCATTTTTTCCCTCCCTCCCTCACGAACCCTTGATAATTTACAAATTATTTTTCATGTCTTATACTGACCGATGTCTCCCTTCACCCACTTTTCTGTTGTCTGTCCCCCTGGAAGGGGTTTATAGGTAGGTCATTGTGATCGGTTCCCCCTTTCTGCCCACACCTTCCCCTTTCCCTCCTGGTATGGCTACTCTCAATATTGTACCTGAGGAGTTTATCTGTCTGGGATTCCCTGTGTTTCCAGCTCTTCTCTGTACAGCCCCTGGTCTAGCCAGATTGGAAAGGTAGAATTGGGTAGTGGGGGGAGGAAGCATTAAAGAACTAGAGGAAAGTTCTATGTTTCATTGGTGCTGCACTGCACCCTGGCTGGCTCGTCTCCTCCCCGTGATTCTTCTGTAAGGGGATGTCCAGTTGCCTACAGATGGGCTTTGGGTCTCCACTCACACTCCCCCTCATTCACAATGATTTTTTTGTTCTTTGATGCCTGATACCTGATCCTATCGACACCTCGTGATCACACAGGCTGATGTGTTCTTCCATGTGGGCTTTGTTGCTTCTGAGCTAGATGGCCGCTTGTTTACCTTCATGTGGGGAACAGAAGGATTTCTCTTAAGTTGTCTCCCCAAAATATGTACCAAACTTAGCTGCTTTAGCGTGACTGTTCTTTAGACAGCGAAAGTAAGTCAGAGGTTATTCTCCTTAACATCAGTCATCTATAGTGGCTAGACTATTAGTCTGACTCACCCTAAATAAAGCCCATTCCTTTCTGTTATTGTTCCCTCGAAGCAGTGCCCATAGGCAAGCCTGGGACCACTCTAAGATGACTAAGCTTAGGCTACTATCTTGCCACACATGCCCCCTATTCCCTCCTCTTACTATTGCACATTCACCCCTAGGTCATCCCCCTCCTATTGCTTGTATTGCCTATGTTACAACCCCTCCTGGTGACTCAGGTTATTGTCCACTATCAGGGAACTTGCATGCCTCCCAGAATAGTAATTGTCTGTTTTATTATGTGAGACATTAGAGTGATCAAACTTGTTCTAGAATGAATTGTATTGCCCCTTTCTGTGATGTATGACTATGATGCGTGGTTAGCAATAAATAACGAGGCTCCCTGGTACCAGAGAGGGTGGCTGGCCAGAGGGTGGCTGGCCAGAGGGTGGCTGGAGAAGGTGACTAAGGAGGACGAAGCAGCAGCTTCTTCTCTGACAGCTAAGCCCCCTCCACGAGGACCATCAAGCCGAGCTGAGGTGAGCTATGCTACCATGAATTGTGTCTGACTCCATTACTTGACTCTATCCTTTAACTCTCATGCTCTCTATGACTTTACTATAATCTCTACTTATTATCGCTGTACAATTGCGCCTACCAAACCTGTGATGTTTTGTGGGGTTCCCTCTTACCCTTAACCCCACACCTTCAAGCCTTTAAGACCCCAGACGCTATATCTTTTGCTAGCTGGACACCATCAGCTTTCTTCAGCACATTTGCTTATGCACCCATTTGTCTTCAGTGATTGTGTTGGGAAGGTGAGCATCATGGAATGCTATTCCCCCCCTCGTTATATATAAATATATTTACATATGTACGTGCCTGTATTTAGACCTCTATAAATGTCCCCTGTCTTCTAGTTCTTTTCTCTATTTCTTTTTACTTTCCTCTTGTCCCACTGTCATGCTCAGCCTTCGTTTGGGTTTCAGTAATTCCTTGGTTACATTGCCCTTGATCAAGCCCTATCAAGCCTCCTACACCCTCCTTGTCATCGATTTTAGTTCACTTGTTTCTTTGTCCCTGGGTTTGTTAATACCCACTTCCTTCCCCCACCCCCACCCCCGCCTCCTCCTCTTCCATGTCCCTCTGGAACCGTCGGTCCTGTTGTTTTCGCCTCCAGATTGTTTATCCCACCTATTTCTGATTCCATTCTTGAAAACATTTTAAAAACTCATCTGTTTGGACGGCTGACAACACCTCCCTCATTTTTTCCCAGACCTGTTCTACATTGTCAAATCGCTGTCCTTTCATGTCCCTTTTCATTCGTGGAAACAAAAAGAAGTCGCACAGAGCGATATCAGGTGAGTAAGGTGTGTGGGGCAAAAGAGGCATGCTGTTTTTTGCCCAAAACTGGCACACCGAGATGGCTGTGTAAACAGGTGCTTTGTCATGGTGGCAAACCCAGTCCCCCATCTGCCACAGATCAGGCCTTTTTTGCTGCACACTGTCATGCAATCTTTTCAGAGCCTCTGAATGGGAAACTTGATTAAGTCTGACCTGGTGGAACGAACTCCACATGTACTACAAGTCGACATTTTCAAATATTTGGGAAGTCGATGAACGTCCAGATTGAGGTTTGTCTTCAATCGACATTTCACCTTTTTTGAAATGAGAAAACCACGTGTACACTTGAGTTTTCCCCAAAGCGCTGTCCTTGTAAGCTATGTTCAACATCCCAACAGTTTCTGCAGCGTTTTTTCCAGAGCAGGAAACAGAATTTCACAACTGCACACTGTGCTCTTAAATCGGCCATCACAAAAAAATGAGGTTCCAGCGAAACTCCTTTTGCGAAAAAAGTTCCCGTGACCAGAAGACCTTCCCAGGTGAAGCCAGTGAGCACACTCAGAGTGAGTTGCTACATGCTTGCCTAGCAGGAAAACTGTGTACTGTGCAAGCTCTGCCTAGCAGGGCTTTCTTGCAATCTTTGGGGGCCACCTCCTCACATATAGGCTTCGAAGAGTAACCAGAGTGGCAAAATTAACTGGGAGGTCCCAAGCAGTCTAGAGAGGAAGTCTGAGAATCAGGAAACAAAGCTACCTTTGACCTGGAGCCTTTTCCCCCCTCAGGAAAGGGCTGCTGAGAAGGAAGCTGAGGTGTGCCCAGAGCCCTGTAGGACTGGGGACCAGAGGGACTGATAAAGACAGAGACCATGGTAACCAGTCAGCACAGAGGAGGG